AAATAAAAATGTTGGGTAAATATGTAATTGCATTTACAATACATTTTTTTTAATTTGAGTCCTGTACCACCCGGTGATTAATTTATCAAAATGGATCCATGTCTATTTAGGCAACCCTTGACATTTTAACCTGCCATTTTGGGTAGTTCATACCTGCTCCCATCTGTATTACAGTTTTATATTTCCAATTTAAATGCAAATTTGCGCTGGTCATTGCAAAGAAAAAAATCTTTCAATACCACAATGAATTATATATTTTAATTAACAACTCTATGAAATGCGTCCAAACCTCTGCTACACAAAAAGCTTTTATCTTGACTTGTAATGAAATTTCAAGAGTGCGAAAGGGTTCAGCCTAGCTTCTATTGAGTGAGACTTGCTGGGCTGTCATACATGAGACTCATTGTTACTTGATATGATAAGCTCAGAACTACTTTCAGAAGAATGGAAGACAGGAAGTGATAAAAACCAAAACCTGGAATGCAATTTAATTCCTACTTGTCAGCTTATTCCATTTTAACAATGCTGAAAAATACCAACCATCAATCACCTATCACCTGCTGCATTTGTAAAATGATAATAGCTAAATGTCTTTTTTAACTGTTACTGAGTCACTAAGATACATACTGGAACATAATGCATGCTATAATTTAAATTTTCTTAGTCCTTTTTTATTGCAGCAACAAGAATGATTCAGCATTATTACATGCTTGTTAGACCTTGCTAAATCAACTGTTACATTAATAATTTTGCTGTCCTGCTTAGTGGGTTGCAACAGATTGAGGACTTTTCCTGTTAAAAAAAAAGAAATAGTTTTGGGACATGCTTATATACTGATGAGTAACTACAGCAGCTTGTATACCTTCTCAGAGAAGGTTAATGTTTACCAAAATACTTATGAATTCCTTTTCATTTTCTTCTATGTTGTTTTACATAGAACTGCTAAACAACACATTAATACTGTAGCTCTGCAATTACAGAGAAAAAGAACAGGTCTTCTTTTATCACTTTCCATTTTTTTATGTTCTTTTGTTATTGTTGTCCATTCTTTTCCTCGATTAGTTATGCTTTCCTTATCATAATTCCCTATCTTGAATTCCCTTTCTTTATTGATCATTCTCACACTTAAGTGTTAAGTGCACCCTTTGTTTTAACAGAAACTCTTGATATAGATTCCTGCTCTTACCAGTTACTAGCAGTGCAGTCAATTCAGCTCAATAGAAAAGGTGCTTTAGGCTCTTTTACACTTAACTGGTACTGGGAATTGAGACTGCACTTCTAATAACAATTTTCATTTTTTCACTGTGTCAAAAATAGGGAACATGCTAGTTTTTACACTGTAATGCATATTATATTTTACATGAAATGTAAATGCCCGTCTATCAATGCCATAATGCACTTGAACAGTCTCTAACAGGGTTTGCTTCAAGTGTTTTTGCACAAACTAATAATCTGTTATTTTCTGAATCTGTTGTGGATCAAATAAACCCTTTACTGGTATTCCATAAATGCATTGGTCCTAAGTGCATCAATAAAGTCTTTTTGGGTGTGCTTCTGTCAGAGAAGCAGCACACCATAAACAGAATTCCAAAACCAAAACCAATTCTTACATCCAGAAACTATATAAAAAAATAATGTACAGAATCACCCCTAACCTTATCATTGAGCAGGATACATTTCTATGGAGAAAAGGAAATGCTGATATTTCAGCTCATCTGCTGTCAGTTTTATTCATTGCCATGATTTGGAGACAGACAGAAGTCTCGGGAAACAATACGGGTCAGAACAAATTTGAAACACATGCCATTTGTATCAGAACTGATGGCAATGTGTTTGACTTTCATGGAATAGAGTAGGGTTTTTTTTTTTACTGGCCATTCATGATATTGTATTAACACTAAGAATTTAGAGCCTTATGTAGCTCCACTAACACACCTCAAAGTGACAATATTGATAATCTGTGCCATCTCTTCTTCTGTCTGGAATAGTTAACATTGTTGAGTTTCATTTAATTCTCTCAAGATGCTAAAATGAAATAGGTAAGCATCTTTTTGTTTGCACTTGAATTTCAAAAACTGTCGCTGTTAGACATTGAAGCTTTGGCCTCCTGGTGCTGTGTTGGCATCCATATTGAACTTCCCAGATGTTATTCATCTACCTTGGTCACAGTGTAGAGAGAGGGTATGGTTCTGTTACTAAGTTTCAAAATAATGTTGAACAGAGGCCTTTAAAAAGTATCATTAACCATTTTGCAGTTTCTACAGAACCTGGACAGTAATAAATCTTAAAAGCTAAAGAAAGGATAAACCCCTTGGTTTTATGTTTAAAATTAATGTCTTTATTTACTCTTTAGGCACTGTTAAAAATGTATAGTACCTGTACATATCAAGAATAAATTGGAATCATGATACAATGTAATGTGAAGCAAACTCACACTGTAGATAAATGTTGTTATAAGCTTAAATATCAAAGCAGAGTTACAATACTAAGTTCTGAATGAAAAACTTTTGGAAGTTCATTTTTATAAGATTTAACAGAATACTCAGGTTTTTTTAAAAGGGTTCAATGTGCAGACATACAACCTATGTATAAATTTGTTTACATTATAAGTGCGCCAGCTTTAGTTCCTACCTTTTAATCATTCTCAGTGCAGTGCATGTCTAAGGACTTAAACTTAAAAGCAGCTTTTAAGTTTGAGCATTTAATTCTTCTCTGTAGTTAAATGTTTAACACAGATAATAAGGAAATTGATAATCCCCACTATCAAAAAAGACACAGACAACTAAACCAAGCTTTAGCCTGAAAAAAAATAAGCCTGAAGTCAAAAGCCTTTACATTTACAGTCAGAAGAGTGTAAAAGTGAGAAGGATTATGTGGCAGCTTGTGGTCACTTTAAATTAAGAAAAGTGAAGAGATTTAACATAATTGTTTTCTCATGGGCAAACACCTGTGAGTAATTAACACCCTAGGCAGAAAGTAATTAATACCTGAGAACTAGAATTCACCATTGTTAATTATTATAAATGTATAGTACAAATGGAACATTTTTAATGTTAAAGTTGAAAACAAATTATATTATTTTAGCAGTAGTGGAATGGCAGTTAGCACAGTACCAGAGTCATGAGTTTAATATTGGTTCTTGGTGCTTTTCAGTATGGTGTTTTCACTTTGTCTCTGTGCTCCCATGGGTGTTTACTGGGTGCTCCTTTCTTTTTGTTCTAAAGACATACAGGCAAAATTTGATTGATCTGAATTATCCACCTAAGGTTTATTCCCTTGGGAAAGGAAGCTGGGCTCCCATTTTATTACATACATATGAGAGCAGTGGCTTTTATTAATACTAATTCTTTACATGTTCAGTATATACATTTATGATTGGTTTCCAAATCACTTTACACATAGGAGGGAACATGCCACCCACGTTTGGAAGGCAGGTCCACATTTAAGTGATGCCTGGCTGACATTATACACCAGCATCATCACTACACCTTAATTCTTGAGGAGAAATTAGATATTGTTTTACGTATGGACTTAAAGTGGAACTGTAGGTTGTCCCTTTTACGAGCCAGAGATTAATTTAGCTAGGATACCATGGTTAACACCTGCTCTTTGCAAAGTGTTATGGTATTTTTTTTACTAAGTAGCCAGGATCTTGGTTTATTGTGTCATCAGAAGTATGGTTTTTGTGTTTACAGGTATATCCCCTGCAGCAAATTATGTGGGGCTACTCAACCATAATAATCCTTTGTTTAGTTTAATAAAAAAAGAAAATGTATATTGTAAAATTCTAATGCCTTTTCGTTTTGCTTAGGCTGTGCTGTGAAAGGTGCATTGAAATAATATTCTGCAAATACTGTCTTAATCATTCGTCACCCACTTAAGTTGGTTGTAGTGCTGATAAAGAAGGTAAAATAGGAAGAATGAAAGCAGAGAAAAATAGAAGCAACAAAACAGAGGTAAGATATACAAAGATTGAAATACAAATGACTATTGTGCAATTAAATAGAAAGAAACATATTACAAGTGTTTGTTGAGTGCTTTATTTTATACCTATATGATCCCTGATTTAAAAAAAACACATTTTTTAAAGGATGATGCCAAAAAATGTTTCTTACATGTTTCTTGAATCTAAAAAGGCTGTAACAACAATAGCGTGATCATTAACAGAAACAAACCTGTGTGAAATTATTCAGCTCTAATGTAATACAAGTGGTGAGAAAAACCGACAATGAGCTTCCTTTTTTACGTTATACTGTACCTCAAATAATACAAAATGTAGTGAGAGATAATATAGTCCTTTGAAACAATATCTCAGGAGAGAGGAAGAAGTTAGGGCATCACTCTGACTGATTGACTGATTTGCTAATGATATTGGTGAAAATTTTCATCTTTCATCCCTTGGAGAAGCAGTATCCCTTTGGTTACTGACTCCTCTCTTTCAGAGATCCAGGGTTAACAAATCGTTTTCATTCTTCAAAACATGCCTTCCAGCAAAATAAATTTGAAATACTGTATAAGTAGAGAAACATTAAAACCTAGAGATTTAGACATTTGATTTATCTGCTGAACCAAAGTCTGTTTCATGACTCATGCCATGTCTCATGCAGTACAGGCAACATGAAATTATTTATATTCTTAAGACAAAAGAAAATGCCTAAAAAATAATAGTGAATTTTCAGTGTCAGGACAGAATCCCCCAATGCTCCTGAGTGCAAGAGAAGTTGAACACGAAGCATCCGTTTGACAAACAGAACCCAGCATTGTGTGGGACATGTTTTTTTTTATCACTTGGTGGTGCATCTCACTGAAGAGCCAAGGGGGTTGAACAGGCAATGCTGTCTCTTTAAGGCCTTGCAGCTTGTAAAGGGGCATTCCCCTGGGAAGATGATTTCACTGATGAGCTGCACAAGACAAGAAGTGCTTCACTTCTGTTTTCCCTAGCGCTGCTTCGGAGCTGTCTGTTTGAACCACCCTAACAAGCACTTTTGTTTCCTCAACAGATGGCAAATATTGTCACATCAGCCTGCTGTGTGATGCTCGCTGCAGTGGTGGTTGTGTATGCACAGAGGCGCAGCCAACAGGGTGAGTCTTTGCTCTTCACATCACAATAAATCTAAACAGAATTTGTTTTTAACTTGTGCTGACTTTTGATGGTGTTGCCTGTCTTCATAGGGCTAAGCAGAAATCCTTTAAAAAATGACACACCGGCTCCTAATTCTAGAGACCAATCAATAGAGAGACTCAAATGCTGGTCACCTGATCACCTGATGTGATGCAATGTTGCATTACTGTTGTATTAGAAAGACAATAAAAGGAAATGATCAGCCCAGAATGAGTGAAGAGAGAAGTTTCTGTTCACTTTTGTTCTTTTAGGTGGGTTTACCCCTACAGGACAAAGTTCAGGAACTGGCATTTGAATGATGTGGAAGGAAAATAACCAAATCAGAAATACATTCACTCTAGTTAATAGATGTGTAGACTTGTTGAATATATCCTATGATGGACTTGACCCGTAATATGATTTGTCACTTGTGGGGCTGAGACACTTTTGGCTTAGGACAACAAAACTTTGGTTATTTTCCTCGTTTTTGACTTTTTTGTATTATTTTCTGTTGTAAGCAATTGAAATATATATATTTTCACTATTCACATCTCCATCTGTTAATGATCATTTATGGGTTCATACTGTTTGTTAAAGAATCAAGTTTGCATCGGGACTACCATGCCAATTATTCATTCTCCTAATGTAATGCAGAAAAAGGAGCAGATTGGCTTATCAGTTCCTTCTGTCCTTTTAGAACAGAAATTATTTTTTAAAGGTGACATCAGTGAATGATTTGTTCTAAGCCTTATTACTTTCAATGTCAATTCTAATGAGGTCTCCATATTGGATTCAGTGTTTCAGAATAATCACAGCTCTCTTAAACTGTTTAATTAGTTCTCGAATAAATACAGTGCTGCTTATAATACCTCCTGCTACTTATAAGTTGTAGTAGTGATGAGAAAGAAATATAACAATAATAACAGGAGCATAGTATGTTAAATTCAATAACTTGGATGTGTGTGAGTTTCTTCTCATCTTATAACTGAACTGATAATGCAGTAGACGGGCATTATACAGTACATGACACAAGAGACAGGAGGTAAAATTAGAATCATGTTATTTTTACTTATTGTGGTATTTTGGTTATTGTGAATGCATATTTCTGGTGTCAGAAATTAACTACTAGGAAGATATAATAAAAATACTCAAATTGATTTACTCAATTTTTTTAAATTAAGGAATCAAGCAAAATTGCAGTAAATGTGAAGAATATATAGATAAAAGAATCATGGTAGCTTTTCAGAATGATACATGAGCTTATAAAGTTAGAATCAACCTTGTATGTTAGATATATTATAGCCTTCAGTAGTTTGAAGCTGCCGCATATTGATGGCATTGGTTAACTCAGGTTAAAAAAAGCAGGCTACAGCAAATCTTCAGCATAGTTCTCTTGAGATTGTGCCATTGTAATCCCAGCACTGTGTGGTCTTTCATTGTCCTGCTGGAAAACACCAAACGTTCATGAGTATATCACTATGTAGTAAGATTGCTCTCATTCTGCACCAAAGGCAGATTTGTTTGTTCTTTTGTTAAAGGAGATTCCTCTCCATATCACCATATTTCCAGCATCCGACTGGTTGACAACTTAACAAACAGCATAATGCTCACCAGCACATCTCCACACAAGTAGTATCCTTTGTCAGGTTTGTCAAGGGCAATGGTATTTATCAGTGAATAAAACACAAAGCGATTTTGAGTGTTCTGTGGCCCACAGAAAACAGCAGTTTCCTTTAACAGCTGTCAATATATTATCTGTGAATGGCCTCTGAACATGCATATAATTTTCATACAGACAGCAAGCTACAGCTGATGTGCAGATTATTTCTTCCTGTAATCTCTTCTGCTGTAGCTACTGCAGTTATTATGCAGATGGGTCACATTCATGTGACAATCTTGGGCCTGTGTGGCCCTCAATCTTCCAGGATGTGCCCTGTCTCCCACAGAATCCATTTCCCAGACTATGAAATAGCCTGTTCATTGCTGAAAAGAAACTTCTCATCCCTGCAGACAGGTTGCATTCAGTCATGTTGGTAGCAGACATGTGATCTTGACTGCTTGAGTGGAGCATGTTCATATATTTCACTGTTCTTGCATGAATTAAAATAATATATTTTTGATTGGTTCTTTTCACAGATATTTAATCAACTCATTCTGGGAGTTTAATCAGAAATAAAATTCCAAAACACTATATTTTATTTTTATTAAATTATGGCTTGAACTCGGGATCCCATGGAAAATATTAATTAAGCAATCTGCAAACTTAACTTTTTAAAATTAAAATAGCATTACAATATGTATGTTCTAAATGAGCTATTGAAATAAATCTGACTGTTGCGTTTTAATTTTGCTTAAACATATTGTATTTCATATAAATATTGAAACTGTACCTTTGTTAGAGACTTAGTTGCATATGCAGTCTTGGCAAACATTAGCTCTTTTTTTAAGTCCCCTTAACTAATCTTTTTTTCTCTTTTTATAATGGTTCTTTGTTTATGGAAGAAAATAAATATCTGCTGATGTGTAATGCCTCCAGGAAAACTGGATAGAGATGGCTCTCGGTCTGTACAGTAAATCTTCAGTTTGTCTATACAGTAAATCTTTAATTTGACACCTGACTTAAAAGCAGAAATTCATTAGGTTATTACAAGCCTCCACTATGGGAAACAATGAATATTTGAAGTACTATATATTTATATTATAAGCCTTGGTTTTAATATGATTGGTTAACATAGCACTTCAGAAGTTATGAAGTTAACAAAAGACAGATTTTACAAGAGAGGAGGTTTCCTGATTTTGCAGCAGCCTATACAAATCATGAGCTGCATTAAGACAGCTGAGGAATGACAAAAAATGTTTTGCATTTTGGGTAATATGAACTTGTTTAGAAATTTATATAAAATAATCTAAAGAAGATAAAATTCCCAAATGAATCAAAATGGAAATCCAACAATTATGTGTATTGTGCTAAAAATGTTTAACAAAAACTTCTTATGATTAAATGTATGTGTGCAGTATATTTTAATGTGTTCAGTTTTTTTCCAAATATTATGCCATCTGATTGAGTTGCTGTAACTTTATTATGGACATATGCGGGGCTTGGGGCTTTATTAAATGCTACAACACTAGGGCCTGTTTTACATCACACACCGTTGAGTGTTTCCAGATTAAAGGTTTGCTTAAAAACACACATTTGGTCTCATTACAATGTTTTATTTCATATAATAAAAAAGAAGTCATCCTTCTTTCATTTCAGTACTAAGATGTTGTTGCTGCGATAGTTATTTATTTTACAGGTACCCTCATCTGAGGGCATGTTACTAAATAGAATATTGAAATATAAGTTAACTTAATATGTAAGTCTAAGGACTAATTGTGTAGATACAATAATAGTGCAGTACAATAAGAAAATAGGCAAGTAATAGGTTTATTCCATGCTGAAAAAAAGAAGAAAGAAAACATAATGTTTCGGCTGTGGAGCCTGCCCTGTCTTCCTCACACCTGAAGAAGGCTCCACGGCCGAAACGTTGGGTTTTCTTTCTTCTTTTTTTCAGCATGGAATAAACCTATTACTTGTTCCTTTGCAACCTATGCATGCTGACACAGCTACCCACCCATAAGAAAATATGTTCACTTAATTTAATAAAATTACAATAAGGCTTGCACAATCTCAAATAGCAATGAAAAAGGTGTGCAAACACAATGTGAAATTAAACAGTATTTAGATAATGCGAATAAACAACAGTAATGATAACAGTAATGTAAACTGCATTCCATGTTTACAAAGAATAAATGCAATTTGGAAATTAAAACAATAAAATACAGTGTAAGAATTAAAAGATATAGTTGAGAGCTGGGAGATCAAAGGTGCTGTTTGTTCAGCACTTGAGCAGGTGTTCAGGGACAGAGCTCTTCTGAATTCTGTGGGAAATTAATTCCACTAATTGAGGAGCGAGAGTGGAAATTAAATGGGCTCTGAAAGTAAAAGAACAGTGAGGGGGTTCAACATGTCTGAAGAAAGAAGTCGAGTGGAGTGGGTAGAGGAAGGAGTCTAAAGAGAAAAGAGACTGAAGATGTGTTTACATAATGTTTAAAAGCAATTCAGGTGTGTGTTGTCTTGAACTGATTTAAATAGGTTAAATATAGGTAGCAAAGTCAATTATGTGATGTGTAGTTACAAGGGTCACACCTTCTACTACACTCTATTTTACAGTATTTTTCCCTGTTTGGTAATTTTGTTGCTGATGTACATGACTCTTTTTATTTCCCCTGTTAGTCTGCATGCTGCAAAATAGCAGGTCTACATTTGTTAGACTCAAATTCATTTGCAGCAATCATTAGAGAAGGTATAGACTAACAATCTGTTGTTTGTTGCTTGCTTGTTCATGTTAATGAAGGAGATGTGGGTTACAATGCCTGTGTGTCTGGGTTTTTCTTGATGAACCTGAAAAAGCATTTTGTTCAGGTTTCCCTTTAAGTACATGCCACAGAAGTGAGGACCTACTTTAATTCAATGCCTTATAAAGTGACATTGCAGAGTTGACATCTTTCACAACCTACTTTAAGTAGGCTATTTGTGCAGTAAAAGCTGCAATACGAAATCTCCAAAGAAGATCCTCTCTCATGCCTTGGCTAAAGAAAGCAATGGAGAGAGAGGAGAAATCCACGTGTGCTTAGAAAAGGTGACTTTCTGATTTAAAAAAAAAAACTTTTTTTTGCAGCATAATGGAAAGCTGTAGCTTTTTAAGAGCTAAGTTCAAGTACAGGAATAATAATGAAATTGTACACTGGGGCTTGGCAGTAATAAGGAATAGCAAACAAGCCACACATACTACCCACTAGTCTTTTAGTCTTTGATACATCCTTATGTCTAAGGTGTGCTTTTCAATTAAACTGCTGCTCTCTATGGCTTCCTCGCATTTATGTCTCAAGCTAAACAAGTCATGGTGTTTCACCAGGCTGACAGGGTAATGTGAGCCTT